ATAATTTAACCAAGTTTTACTTTTACCATTTAGACGTCTGTCTAAACTCTTGATTTCGTCCAGCAACCTTAATTATAGTATTATATATTTTAGTTTTCTCTTTGAATTTGTCTTAAGAATAAGAAATAAAACAATTTCTGTTATAATGATTTGTATTATTGTGGGTTTAAAAATAGAAAAAATAGATATTTCAGCATATATTCTCAATTTTAATTATTAGAATTAATTTTGAATATTATAACTTAACCAATATTAATGATATCAAAAATTCTAATTGAAAATTTTGAATGTATTTAATTATTTATTTTATGGTTTAAATTTTAACTTTATATATAATAAAAAAGGTTATGTATTATAAATGTATTTTATCTTTATAATAGCAAAGTTCTTATTATAGAAGCTTTAATATAGCAAATCTAATAGATATATAATTCAATTTGAATTTTTACAAGTTGCATTATTGAATCAGCCAATATATATAGATTGTAAAAGAACAGTACATCCAGTTATTTAAATTAAATGAAATCTGAATAAATATAAAATATATTATTATTAATTTAATACATCAAAAGCAAAATTTATTTTAAGCAATTCCTTTTTCTATTTTACATTGTATTATTTACTTAGCTATATTATTTGAACTTTTTATACTTTTAAAAAAAATGAAGATACTATTATTCTTTAAATAGCTTAAAATTAAAAAATTCTATGATTTTATATTATATAATAAAATTTTCATTGTATAATAAATCTTTACAATTTTGCATAATAATCCTTAATTATATTAATGAAAGTTGCTTTTAAATTGATTCTTCTAAAAAGTGATCAGATACAGAATATTAGTTTAAATTTATTAATTTTTGAATTCTAATTGTTTGTCTTAAATAATTTTTATAAAAATAAAAAATCATTATTCTAAAAAAATATTACCAAAATAAAAAATCACAGTAGTGATTTGAGTCCTTGTAATAATCATCAGAAGAAACAAACCCATTGTCCTAAAACTAAGCATTTGATGCTATTAACAAATTAAAAATAAGTTAAAAACTTTTACATATAATATTAATTGATGTATTAAGTGATTATAATAATTTAATATTCTGATTCCATCTTATAAATAAATAAGACTATAATTATCCCATATTGATTTTTTTCATTTCCTCTAGGATAAATTAATTTCTTAAATTCCAACCAAGTTATATGTTGAATCTTGATTAATAATGAAATACGAGTTATTGATATTAAACAAATAAATTATTTTAAATTGCTTGAAATAAAATTTTAATCTTTTTCTAAAAATCTGCTTTACACTTAAATTTTTTATTAAATTAAAATAACCTTTACAGTGTTGATATCACATGGCTATCAGGTAAAAAAATAAAGATAAATTACCCAGGTATTAAACAAAAATTTACATGAAATGAAGTATTATTATAAGAATTAAAATTCATTTGATTATTGAAGCGGAGGAGGTAATATAACACTTATGTGAAAGATTCATGATCATCCAGTAAAATGTGACCAACTTTATTATTCGGTTGATAATAATACATCTTTGGAAGTAAGATAAAATTGTTTCTCTGATTAATAATATGCAAATATCAATATAATACCATATATAAATAAAACCAAACATTTTAAGTCATATCCGTATGATAGAAAATATTTGTTAAATATGTTCTTTCCAATTTCGCTATTCTTGATGCATTTCCCAGATCTAGAGTGAAAAAAAAAATAATTAAAGAAATATCTTTTCTTGATTTTCATAATAAACAGCAAAATATTACCTTATTTAATACTCATTCCTTTCTTAATTGCAATGAGTATCATCGAAAATTATTATTTTTCGTAAAGCATAAGTTCCAGGATGTATGAATCATCGCAGAAACAATTAATCTTGTAATTTCAAATATTCTTATCTTTTTGTAATTTAATCACTTTGATTTAATCATAATTTTTTTGTTAGTTAGAGTGAGTCGAGAACTTATAAAAATAATTAATAAAAATAAATGTCATAAATAAAAATTTATAGACTTTAATTTGATAAGACTATTTAAGAATGGTGTGTAATTTGCTTACCGTTTGTTTTTAATGAGTACGCGTCGTTCTTGAAAGGTCTTGAAGAACTTTAATTATGATTGATGAAAGAAACCAGGATTTGTATTTCTAAAAGAATATAAAGTTTATTAAAATAAAATGATAAAATACATTGAAAGTATAGATATGAAAATATAATCTTAAAGGTCAGATAACTATAATGTTCCCACTGAACTTTGAGGAAAATGTATATGTAGATGTGAATTCGATGTTATTATTCTAGATGAAAAAGCAAGTACTTGTTGATTACCTATAATAATGTTAAAGATTTATTTAACAAATAATAATGACATGATTATTTAAGTACTTTTCTAACTATTGGTACTTAAGAAATCATACGGTAAAAAAATTACTTGTAAAAAAATAAGTAAAACACGCGTATTGAGAAATCTAGTTTGCTAATAAAATTTTAAATTATCGATTGTTACATCACATTTATCAAATATAATTACCTAAAGGGAATAAGATGAAGTACATTTGTATAATTTATGGATTGTAGTTCTGATAGTCATTTGGTTAAGACGTCAGTCCAACCCTATGAACACTCAGTTCTGCGATTTAACCCCAATGTTATATCGGAAATTTTAAGATTTTCTCAAAAGATTATTAGCCTGAAAAACCGAAGCATTATTGGAATCCATTGATTATCCAGCATCCTTCATGTGGGTTATGAAGTTGATAGCGATGCGCCCCATGAAGGTTCTTTAAGTGATATTATTTGGGACTGATACTAATATCTAATATCATTAACCTAGGTGGTTTAAAGTTTTGTTTCAAAAATAAAAATGAATTCACCTTTATTTTATTTACCATAATTCTTTAATTAATATACATAAATAATAAAATTATATATTAAAATGTATTTTATTTAATAAAATCAAAGAAGTAACAACATCCAAAACTCTATGTTATGGAAAAAAAATTTCGTTTAAATCTTTTTGTTAATTGTTATTTTTATTTTTAGTCTGTTACTTAAGTTTATAATTTTATAAATTGGACAATATACAATATTTTAAGATAGAGGAAAGAATATTGCAAAGTTCTTTCATACCTTCCAAATTTTTATCAAATATTATAAAAACGAATTGTAATGATGGAAAGGATTCAAAGTCCTGCCTTGCTAAATTTTTTATACTATATTGCTAATATCCAGAATTCTTTCCATAGGATCGAAATCACTTAATTTCAAGGGTCAGAGAAGTATTCTTGCTAGGAATAAGATTTTAATTTGTGAGATAGTGATGAACTGCTTATTTGAAGCTGGATCTGCTGATAACTATTAGTTCGACGCTTCTTTTTCTTTATATTTTTATTAGGAAAATTTTCTTGCAAATTATGTTGTTAATTTAGCATTTTATTTTATTATATTTTTTAATTTTTAAGAATTGTTTATGCAAAGCGATTTAGTGGTGTGAATATTTAAAGTTTGCAAAAAGTAAATAAGTTGTTTATAGGAATCACACAACCCAAATCATGGATAAAAATATAGCTTTGCTAACAAAAAGGGTACAAATGTTAACAGAAATAATATATTGATAGTTGATACATATATCGCACAATGAATAAATAAAAACTATATAAATTGAAGTTTAATAATTCATTAATTATTTTCCATTATAAAATCTTCAATTTTTCAACAAATCATTGATCCAATCCGCCAACGCCACTTCAAGTCAAAATAATGATAGTTTTAATGTTGATTCTATATAAAAACGCTTCATTATTTCCAATCATAATCCAGAAAGAAATAATGGCAAACTTGAGGTTGGAACCGGTTAATTTTTAACCAGTTAAAGATTTTCTTTAACCAGTTAAAATAGTTAATCATAACTCAAGTCAAAATTAAATTTCGGCCAGAATTAAGATTACAAATATTTCGCTAGCTCTGCCTAAATTTATAGTTCTAACCTAAGTTTTATTTAACCGGTTAATTAGCCAGTTATGGATTTTGGACTGATTTCAACTTAACTCTTTATCAAATACTTTTCACAAAATAAAACCTATGCAATCGAAATTTATTGAATAGAATATCTTTATGAAATTAATTAACTTTCGATTCAGTTTTCTCTTCAGATATCACAATAGCCATAATAAAACTGATGACAATAAAAAGAACACTGTACTAGCAAAAAAATTAATGACAATGTCTATTTAATTGAAAGAAATGAAGAAGTTAAATAGTTACTTAAGTGAAAAAACTCAGAAAAATAATAACACATTAACATACTCATTTTTTATATTGGCTTTTTTTTTGTAGCTAGAATCTTTCTAAGAAAATCAGTCATTTCTTTGTTACTTTTAAGACCATTAAAAAAATCATCGCTTCGAAAGCCAAATCATCGTAAATATCTTGTAATTCTTTCAGCATAACTTTTTGGGAACCTTTTCATAATACAGTGAATAACAATGTTAGTAGATTTAAAACGTATATTTCTTAAATCTTTAATATATACGTAATACAATATATTCACTCATGATAACATTAAAAATGTTATAGAAAATAATCTAGCTTTATCAAGAGCGAATAACTACAAGAAAAAACAGCTTATTTATATAGCAGTGATTTAATTATTTGTTATTTACATAAATCTTGTATTTCATAATTTTATTACTCCAAATTAGGGATATTATATAGATGTATAAATATGTTACTGCTAGTTATATATTATAAAAGCCATACGTTTCATACATAACAAACCATACTGTATATATTTCTATATTAATTTATCAATCAATTTTAACTACGAGTTTAGGTCAGAATTAGATTAAATTATGTAATTTTTATATTCTATATGTTTTAATATTTTTAAATAAATAAAATATAAATTATATTAAGTATACTTAAACTTATTAAGTGTTTTGATTGTATTTCACGCCATATCGCATAGGTGGAACTACTAGTCAATTGTATAATCTGTTATTATTGAAAATTGAAAATTTATGTTTTATCTATTATTTTAAAATTAAATATTCAAATTTTATTTATAATTATAAATAAACCCCCCTTCATAATTAAATACTTACGATTTATACTATTCTGCTCGCTTTTATTTCTCTTATAATACAAAATAAAAAAATTCCATTCTAATATTAAACTTTCTCAAGTCATGAATAAATAGTAATCCAATCAGGCAGAAAAAAGTACTATCAATTAAATATTATAACTTCATTATTTTTTGTCCAGATTTGAGCAAAATCAATCTGAATCAAAAAAAATATTTTTTTAAAAATACTAGCCATCTCCGATAAGCGAAAAGTAATTATAATGTTAAATATAATCAATGAAAATTCTGTCTATATGTAGAAGAGGCTTCTAATTTTTTTTATTACTGTTTTCAAATCCATTTTTCGGTTTGAGCATAGAAATAAACACATAATGATACAAAAATTTTACTTATCAACTTTATCATTTCAGTACAAAATATATTATAAATTTATGTCATATACAACCTTCCAATTTAAGCAAGTTAAAAATCATGATTATATAACTCGCCGAAATATAAACATACACACAACGATCTGCTTCAAATGGTTCGATATTGAAGAATCTTCATGAAGTTTCTAAATAGCTAAATCTTATCTTTCTACGATCACAGGTTAGCAAATTTATATTGCCTAATTCGTCTAAGATCAGCACTTTTACTATATAGATTAAATTTGTCAATCACATGCATAGTATAACAACTTCTAAAAGGATAATTCATTAATGACGCACAGACTATAAAATTATATTCATATGTAAAATAATAAGTTTATTATGTACGTTCGTCAGATTTATGGTTCAAATATAACTATATTCAAATACTTTATTGCAATTTATTTTATTATTTACACTAAAAATGCTAGTCTTCTAAGTTGTTTCCTAAGACTCTCCTACAATTAAAGAACGTTCTGCTGCTTCAATTACCTGAAGTGCCATTGCATGTTTTCAACCTCGTGAAAAGAAAGTAATCCAATTTGCAATGGTACTTTTCTTTGATACACTTTCTTCTTCTATTTCTCCTTCTTGTACTCGCTGCATCAACTCTCTTCTCATTTCTGCTGCTGTCATTTTTTTTTCTTGGATTAGCAATATTGTTTCAAGAAGATTTTTTATTTGTGCAGATATTCGTTTTACTGGCTCCCTAGTTTTTTGATTTTGTTTTAATGCCCAACCTGAAATAAAAATCTCCCAGCTGAATAAAAATAATTGCAAATAAGTTTATAAGTTTTAACAATGAAGATAATTTAATAATAAAGGAGTCGAAGATAAAAATTGTGATAAAGGTTATGGTAGTGACAAAGGTGGTGATAATAAAGTAGAAGAAGGTAATGACAATGAAAAAGTAGAAAGTAATAGTATGAATAAGGGTATGATGAAAGGGATGCAGGTAATGGTTGATAAATTAAGCAAAGTAATTGTAATAATAATGTAGAAGGTAATGGTAGTTAAAAAGTAAAAGGTAATATTGGTAAAAAAAGAGATGAATGTAATAGTAGTGATAAAAGAAATGAAGGTAATAATAGTAATAAGTGTAGTAAAGGTGATGATAGCAATAAAGTAAATAAAGATAATGGTGATATTAAAATAGGAGAGGGTAATGACAGTGAAAAAAATAAAAGGTAATGGTGGTGAAAAATTAGCATATAATAGTGGTTAAAAAATAGAAGATAATGGAGGTAAAAAGTAGGCAATAGTAATGGTAATGATGAAGAGATAAAAGTATTAGCAGCAATAAAGAAAACAAAGGTAACAGTGATGATAAAAGAAACAAAGGTGATGGTGATAATAGGAAACGGTAATAATGGTAATAGCAATGATAAAGGAGATAAAGGTAGCGGTGATAATGAAGGAAATAAAAGTAGCGAAAGTAATTGTAATAAAAGGAGATAAAGGTAGTGAAAAAAGTAAAGGTCAGTAATAGTAATGATAAAAAAAGTAAATAAAATGAATTATAAATTATTACATTTACATTTCAAATTTAATTCTACTTTAATTTGTTTTATTAAATCATTTACTGTATATTCCTATTATATAATATATATTCAACTAGATTATTAAGTTTCATTATTTTATTATTTTATGTATAATTTACTGAATTATTTATTTAATCTTCTGTATTTTCATCAATAGTATCTATTTCAAAACAAAAAATAAATAATTCAAATTACAAATTGATTTTATTTGGATATCATACCTTGATGATTGATCCTCGGAATATTCCATGATTTTTGGAGATTTGAATGTGCTGAAATAACAGGATTTGTTTGGATAATTATCTGATTTTTAACAATTTTTTGAATTAAATTAGGAGAAATGTGTTTATTTCTCCAAATCTTGATAAAGGTCGTACACAAATTTATCTACCTTCATCATCATCATATTTTCAAGTAAATTCCAATTTTGAATTCCTGTAATTATTCACATTTTTTGTTTTTGTTTTTCTACTTAAATTATAGAAAATTTATTTCATTATTAAATTGAAATGTAATGCAAATTTATAAATATATTTATTAATTTAATCTCGATTAGGTTGAAGACTTGCTACATGGGTATCTGATCTTTGATCGCCATTTCAATATCTTCACTAGAAGCAAGTTTAACATACTGGGTGATAGCATGTGTAATCTCAACAGAAAATTTTTGATTACATTACAACACAAAACAATAAAAATAAACCAAATTACTTACTTGAGCATGATGTGAATCTATGGTAGTTTTTACCTCACCAGCTTCCAAAATAAATCTACTTTTTAACGCATCTGTAATATCATTTTTTCCAATATGATAATATTATCATTAATAATAATGTCCATTATTATCAGATATAATGGTTACAAATTTGGATTTTTTTTCAAGTATTTTAATGATTCCATGTAAAGAAAATGCTGCAAACCAAGCATTTTACTTGGTGTCTTCATTCTAATGATCAAAAGCATTAATATTGAGATTGTTAGTATGTTGATTTTAAAATATAATAAAATAAAATATAAAGTCTATCCGCGTTTACCAAACATATTCATCCTTTGTTTCTTAGGATTAATGCATATTTTATAATCTACAATAATCAAAGTCTTATCAGAATCAAGCTGAGAAAGAGTAGCAAGTTAATTGTACATTTAGATAAATCTTATGTGCATGATGTGACATGAATGCAATCAAATTTTTTTGATATTCATCAAGATTTCCATGTAGATTCAAAGGTAAATATCTTTCAAATTTTTGAAAAAATAAAGAGACTTTCACAATCAATGCAAGTGTTAAAATGCATTTCTTGATAATTATCGAAAGTATATGAAAGGCAATATGATACACAAGAATTATGAGTTGCAATTCCGTCTTTTGTTACATTCAATTTTTTTGGATAATCCATTCTAAGATAACGTCATAAATTTTGAGCAGCAGCAACTAATTTGTTCTATTATAAAAAAAATAGCTGGAGTTAGAAAAATTTTGAATTAAATATCAACAATTATTTGAAATTATAATCTTACCCGAAGTAACAGGTGTAATATTAATTCTTTAATATTTGCAAATACTTGATATCCACATTCATTGCACTAAATAAAGTCCACCTAAATGATTTTCTTTACATTCCATTGAGATACTGTTCATGAAATCGATTTTATAGAGCTTTTTTATGATTTTGTAAGTAAAGTAAAGGCAATTCACTTGCATTATCAGTTTTATAAGAACTCATATTGATATGTTCTTTTGTTGAAAAAAATAATTCAAACTGTTTTGACTGTTCAACAGAAAATTTTACTCGGTAAAAGTTGTGTTTATCCAGTAGAAGTGCTCCATAACTATTTGCTCATGCATGTTTATATATTATTTATTAATTATTATTTAATGATAAATTTGTATGAAGATATTTAAAAATTTAAATGATCATGAACATGTCATCATGCCTTAATGATGAAAAACAAATATAATTTAAGTACAAAATTTTATTTTTAAATGATCCCAAGTAAATGTTTAAATGAGAATTGTGTATCTGTGGAATAATGATATAAAATATATAGAGTTTTATAAAGTTTTAAATTATTATACATTTTGAAAGACCCATACAAAACTAAGAGGACAAAAAATATAAATTATTCAGACAAAGGTTTTCATAATATGTTATTATAAGAACTCATTATTTATAGATTCAATATCTTAGATAACTTTTCTATTTAATACAAATTAATTAAAGAAAATCAAATTTTTTTTTTTCGAAAATTGGCTTTGAAGTTGATGGGCATCCGTGACCATTATTATTTCTTCCATACAGTTTGGCCATGTTGTTTGGTAATCTAACAAAAGTAAAATTACATAAGTTAGTGAAAATTATAAAATAAAAGGCAAATGAAAAATTTATTTTACATGTAATTTTTGACAAAGTGTTATAATTGATATAATTGATAATATTCTTTGTATAATCTTTATTGTCCATTAAATCCCGTTTGTTTTCATCTATTGCCCTTATGAAACAATTCCAAATGCTTCAGTAGAATTTAGCATAGCATAGTTGAAGGAAGAATCCTTTTTCATAAACATTTCCAATAACATGAATCATGTGATTCGTACTAAAAAAAATATCGAAATAGAATTTATTATTCATAATAAAAACAAATGCTTTTATTTTTAGCAAATGGAGTAGTTTCAGTAAATCCAGTTGCAAGTAATAGCATGCTATGCTCGTATTCCCAATCAGCTTTTAAATATACATCCAGAGTAAGCTATAAATTCGTTTTCATTATATTATCTGTTTTTAAAGAGGGACGAAGCCCCCGCAATCGTTCTAGTTCAATGATAAATTTAAGGACACAATAGGAGATGATGAGATTATGTTAATAGTTGTGTGGTCAAAATAGACTGAACTCTTCGGAAATTTTTCATGAATAATTCGAAATACAATTAAATTTTTGGTACTTCACTCGTATTAAAACAGAACTATATTGTAAAAATAATTTCTCACCCAATTTACAAATTAAACTAAAACAGTTTTTATCATTAACTTATAATAATTAATATTTGAGTTTATTAACTAATTTAACGTAACGGACTTTTTTACGAAAAAGGCAATTTTTTGAAATTGTGCATTGAAGTGGTTGGTAATTCCGGCCAGAATTAAAATCATTATGTCATAATTTAATTAGACTTTAATCGATCATTCTGATTAAATTCGATATCATCTTTACAATTCCTTTTCCTCTTAATAAATTTTGTCAAAATGTCTGCACAATTTCTTTCAAACTTGAGTCAAAATTATATTGAATTATTGGATGATGATGAATATTATGATGTTACTGTTGAAGTTGGTGAGGAACCTAATGTTAAAATATTCCGCTCATATGAATACTTTGTGTTATCGTTCTCCATATTTGCGACGAGTCTTGACTTCAAATAAAAAAAGTAATGATAATATCTTGGCACATTTGAAATTGCAAATCACCTGAAATCTTTCAAAGTAAGTATTAACGACAGAAATAAACATGCTGTTTATTATAATTTTAATATTTAAATTCAATTTTAATTTAGATATATTTATGGCGGCATTCTTTCATTTAATGAGCAAGACGTTTCAGATATTCTTAAAGTCTTGATTGATGCTAATAAACTATGTCTTCAAGAATTATTTGATTACTTGCAAAAGTATTTGATTGATAATAAATCCGAATGGATGGAGCAACATTTTGGTAATATTCACCAATCTAATAATTTTCTAAAACTTCAACAATTTTGTACAGATTCAATAACTAAATCACCCGAAAAGGTGTTTAATTCACATGACTTAACTTTTTTTCTGAAAGTCTTTAATATCAATCATTAAAAGAGACGATTTACAAATGGAAGCAATTGAAGTTTGGGATCATGTATTAAGGTGGGGTCTTACACAAAATTCAGCTCTTACTTATGATCCCGCAACTTGGACTGATGATGATTTCAAAAAAGTGGAGAATACTTTACAACGATTCATACCTTTGATTAGATTATTTAGCTTACATTCAAAAGATTTTTTACGAAGAGTACCGGTACATCCATATAAAAGGCTTTTAAAACATCAACTTTATGAAAATTTATTAGCATATTACCTTGATCCAGAATCACAAATCACCAATAATTTGTTACCTCCTAGAATTGAAAATTTGGATTCAATAAAAATTGATTCAAAAATCATTACTGTAAACATAGCTTCCTTAATTTCAACATGGATAGATAAAGTAGATTTTAATAGTATTATAGGTTTATATTTACCATATAAATATGAATTACTATTGAGAGGAAATCGGGACGGATTAGCTCCTAAACATTTCACACATTATGTGATAATAAGCCTAATACTGTAACATTCATAAAAATTAAAGGAACAGAAAAAATTATTGGTGGATACAATCCACTAATATGGAAATCTACTAATGGATGGGGTAAAACCAAAGATAGTTTTATATTTCTTTAAAAAATAAAGATAACTTTATCAAGGATGCGATTCTAAGTAAAATTGATGATGTAGATGACGCTTTAAGTTATCACCATCAAATGTGCCCATCTTTTGGATTGGAGATTCATTTAGAATCATCAAATGAATTAGAAGATTATAATGTTGCACGCAGTTCGAAACGTTTATTGGTTATAAACAATAGAAAGGGTAAGCAGAAGGTTTCTTTATTTAAGTGAATTAAATGTCTTTATTAATAACAAATGAATCTAACATAAATCTACGTAAATAAGGTATTGCCTCAATCTTCAGCGCTCTATACGATCAGATACGTAATTTATTAATATACTTTTGTTATCGTTACAAATAAAAGGAAAGGGGATATATGCTAAAGTTGTCTATCGTTTTTTATCTAGGGAATATATGGAACACTTCATGTTTTTTACTCAAGCGAAATCCCACCTCTTTTATATTTAAAATCCAGCAAGAACTAATCGTTCGGAGGCCTTTTTGTCCTCAAAACATAATAGCCGGATGGCATATTGGCCAGGAGACGAATTGGCTTGCAGACAATTTGGCCAGGAGACAATTGGGCCGTCGATCTACAGAAATCTAACTAAATACTAAAAAACAATTTTTAAACTAAACAGAAATGGGACACAATGCCATGGAACTAATAGAACACGATAGAACAATTATATTTATTTGTAACACTAGCGTAAACTTTAATAATATAATATCCTGTTAATTTAGTCATTATAGCAAATATAATGTCTAAATTACTTTTACAAGTAGTTAGTTAATACTTTAAGGAATCTATATGGCATTTTTTTATATACAACCCTTATTTTCTAAAAAAGTACTTTAAAGCATATAAATAATGGCTGATTAAATTGATTATTTTTGGCCAATCATTAGAAAGTCCTACTATGAATACTTGAGGCTAATTTTAATAAATGCCAAATTTCTTTTTTTATTCAAAAATAATTAACATTCATATGAATTTTATATAAATAAATACAACTTTTTTTTGAAATTTTTTTTTTAACAGTATTTTTTTTTTTAAAAAAAAAAAAAATTAAACAAAATAAATTTAAAAATTTTGGAAATAAGTAAGTAAATTTTCTTATTTTTTTATTTAATAAACAATTATTAATTTTATTATAAATATTTTTTAGAAGAAAATTAGTTAAAAATAAAAAATGAATTAGCATATTAGCAACATCAGAATACATTTTGCTTGTTGTAAGAATATTGCTATTTATTTAATAAATATATAAATATATATAATTTTATTATTACTTTTGTTAATTTTTAAAATAGAAAATACATAATTATCATCATCAGTTAGGTATGCCTATTCTGAAACAAGAATTTATTTATTTCTATGATTTATTTATATTTGATTTTATATTTAAAAATCATTTATTTTAATTAATTATTTTATTTTTATTTATATATTTTTTAAAAAAAAATTCAAAATTATATATTGTTATACAAGTTGGTTACGAAGTCTATCAACTGAAAAATAGACTTTAGCACATATAACAAGATTTTAGATATCTGAAGGATAATGATTTAACTTAATAACTTTAAGAACTTGTTTGCGTTAATAAAACTATTGAATTAACAATATTTCAATTTATAAGTACAGGAAATGTTGAGGATATATAAATATAAATTGGGAATATGTATAAATACTTCAAGTATGATGGGAGAGCAATAATGATGGATTGGGTTTTAGGTCACGAGTTTAACAGATTAATGTTATAGGAATAAAGTTTGGTTTATTAATAAAATATAAGTGGATCAATATGATTCAATAAACTAAATAAGCTCTTGTTGGCAAACATATCAATTTATAAATTTTACAATAAATTCTCTAATTAACTTTGATTAAAACTAAACTGAATTCAAATCTGACTTTCACTATTTCTGTCTATCCTTAATTACAATAATTTCCTACCCTATTTAAATAAAATATTTAATCTACTTCTATTACTAATTTAAAACTATTAAAATTAAAGAAACATTATAAACTTCATTAACTTAGTTAACTACATTAACTAATTTAACTAAATAAACATAAGAAACTAATTAAACTTAATCAACTATGTTAACTTAGTTAATAACGTTATTATCATTTCTGAGGTTTCAGTCATTTTGATCGTTGAACTGTGGCTTAAGAAATTACGGCTTTCTTTAGTAGTGATCTGCAGAATTATAATAGCAATCATTTTTTTCAAAATATCTCTGCTTCTATTAGTCCAATAACCTTATATTTATATGTGTTGGAAAGCTTTCGATGAGACGGTTTTAATGATCATATTTCCATTGAAATGTAATCATTAGGTCGAAAGTTATTTCATTTAACAATATTTAAATTAAATTTTATTTTTTAAAAAAATTAGTAAAACATTATTTATTTAAAAATAAATTATATAATAAATAATATTATTAGATTATTTAAATATGAATAAATGATAATTTAATTGATTTTTATTAATTGGCATTGAAGTTCTTTTTTGATTCAATTTTTAAAAATTTTGTAAAATTTAAAATTTTATTTGTGATATACCTTAAAAAAAAAATAATAAATTTGTAAGTTAATTCAATTATGAAAATGTTCATAACTTTACAACTATTAATCCAACTATAATGAAAATTTATATTAACCTATTTTTGAATCCTTTGAATAAATTTACTTAGGCTTTCAAAATCAACTTTCTTTGACCAAAATGCTAAATTATTCTTTGAAATCACTGATCAGAAAAAAAATAAAAAAAAATTTGTGAGTTAATACAATTATGAAAAACATTCATGATTCTACAACTATTAATCCAATCATAATAAAAATTTGTATTCACCATTTTCAAACCCGTTAAATAAATTTACTTAGACTTTCAAAGTCGACTTCCTTTGACTAATATACTAAATGAATAAAAATTATAAAAAAACATTTCATGAGATAATATAATTATAAAAAATAATCATAACTATATAATCATTAAACCAATTATAATGAAAATTTATATATACCTATTTTTTGAATCTGCTGAGCAACTTAACTTAGGATTTTAAAGTTAATTATCTTTGACTAAAGTTCTTGAATTTACCTTTGAAATAATTGAATAGATAAAAAAATTACTTTTTATATAAATAACCTTAGGAGAAGTTAAAAAAGTAATGTGAAATTAAATAAATGTAAAAAAAAAATTTTTTTATTATTTGTCCAATTAAAATAGCAAAAAAAGTATTTGAAATTGAAATTCCAATTTCAGTTAACTGATCTTCACATCTCAATTTCAGATGCCTGAAAAGTATCTGAATTTCAACTTCAGACAAAAATCAATTTCAGTCACAAGATTAATACGAAAAAGTTGCTGATTAGCCA